CAACCATTAGAAAATTTTAATGTGCTATCTGGCAAACCTAATGTCTGGGCAAAAAATACAGCCTTTTCTTTAATAATCAAATCCACCATAATATATTTGTTGGATCGACCTTTGAGAATTAAAGATAATTAGAATTATAAAAAATAAAGTATGGTATTATCAGATTATTCAAGTAAAATAAATTCGTTTTGTGCAATGTCATTTGCAAAGTGAATTATACATAATAGAAGATAATGACCTGAAAAAAGAAATGAAAGATAAATCTCACCATAGGCACGTCGTAAAAATTAAAGCCATTAAGTCCTCTCATAGCCGCCGTAGCGCTTTGAATTTCCTTGAAAACAATAAAAGCTTGGCCGCGCATTTTTATAGTTTTCAAAGCAACAATATCTAAAATACGTCCATAAGCTGAAAAAAGAGCATACAATGATCTCTTTAATTCTAACAATAAAAAAAATTCGTGTTAGATTCTATTAGCAGCACAAGCTATAGAGTAATAATAAATACCCTCTTTGTTGATCTTTTCATTTAAATTGCGGATGTAAAGAGTTTGATTTGGTAGAATGCTTGACATAGTAATCTTGGCAAAGTTGCTTCAAAAAGGTTGACTTTGTGGCTGCGGGACTATGCTTGTCTGATATATTTAAGGTTCATTCCACTGAAATTAAACAATCCCACCAATAAAATATCCGGATTTATAAATTATACAGATTTAAGTTATATGAATAATTACTGGTATACAATTATTTTTGTTTAATATACAAGACTGGTTTTTTTATTTAGTTTTATAGTTTTAACTGTATAAATATACATAAAATTATAAGGTTATCTTTAAGAACAAAGCTTGCAATTTCAATTTCTTTTTGTTTAATATAAAAAGAATCATATAGTATAAACTATACTCTTAACTACATACTAAATCATTGTAGATATTTAACTTTGTCTTTATTTGCTCAATGTCTAAAACTTTAATATTGAAGCAGGTCATGATTGTCACGCTAAAACTTAGGGTCTCTATTACAGTCGTCCCCCCCTACAATTACCTCCTATGTAATCACAAATTCTATACAATCACACAAACAAATCTATTTGTCTAAATTATATTCAAAATCCCTCTATATAATCACAATCATACTACAATCACTATCACACTCTTTTTAAATGGGTTTATACAAATTTATTAATTAATTTACCTCTTTAAAATCACAAATTATATGTACGATTTTATTGGCTATAAATATTTAACTATGATTGGTCAGATAAATT